ATCTATCTATCTATCTATCTATCTATCTATCTATCTATCTATCTATCTATCTATCTATCTATCTATTTATCATCTACCTACATACTGTGTTTCCCCGAAAATAGGACCTGGTCTTATATTTTGGGGGTGGGCTCCAAAATAAGCACTAGGGCTTATTTTCGGGGAAACATGATTTCAGGGTGATCAACCAGGCTGGGTTCCCCACTCCCTGGCACACACACAAGAGGCAGCCCATGCAGTGCAGGTGAGTTGATTCCCTGTCCAAGCAATAGATGGAGGAAGGTGTGAGGTGGAAGGCAGACGATCCTGACGCACTGCCCAGGCCACATGCAAGCTGAGAGACACATACCTCTGCCTCGGTCTGATGCTTAGACAGGTAATCAACTCACCTGTGATGTGTGGGCTGCAGCCGCTTCCTGACACCGTCAGCCCATGCATGCTCATCCCCTCCTCTGCTGGCCACACCCAACCCTTCACTAGGGCTTATTTTTTGGGGGTAGGTCTTATATTAGGTGCATGCTTAAAAACCAGGGTAGGGCTGATTTTCGGGGAAATGGTACCTACCTACCAGCTACTTACCTTCCTATCGACTCCTATTTCAGCCAAGGGACTCTGGGAGGCTTACAATTCTAAATTATAACATGTTTTGCCCAGACCATGTTTAGCATGGTCCCCGATTGGTACATTCCCCTAATCCTTTACCTCCCAGCCATGCATGCCAGGAAGTTCTCAGCTGTTTGCCATTCTATTAGTTGGTCTTACAGGCCATGTACCTTCAATAAAAAGCCCTCTCAGAGACCGCACCCCTTGAAATAGCCAGCATACACCTATAGTAAAGCAATTACAATATTTTTATTTTTGATTGGTTATATGCATTTTTTTTAAATGCCACTTTCATAGCAACTAGTTTTACAACAAAAAATACCTTTCTTAAATTTTTCCAGGTTTAATGCCTTAATTCTGAGGCTTTTGTTATGGTAGTAGCATAGTTGGTCCTTGCCACTATCTCCAGACTCCACTCCAGGTGCCCTATCTATCCAGCTTATCCTGCTCTTTCTTTTCATATACTTGTAAACAAAAAGTAATAGATCATTGCCATTTACAATGCTTAGTTTCCAAGATCGTTCCTATGGATCACAAGAAAGAATATCTATACTAGAAGCTGTTGCTGTGATTTGCAGCATTATACGTCAAAGTAAGGACAGAAAGTCATCTGTGCATGAAAGGAGGTAGCCAAGGTAATGAAGGATAAGGAGGAGAGAATTTGATGGAAATAAGTGCCTGCGTGTGAAGGATGACTTCAGAATATGCATTTGTGCTCTAAGGAAGTGAATTCTTTGGTAGATTGTTCATCTCAAGAGGTAAATATTTACTTGCAAGCTGTGAACAAAGATGATTATTTTGTAGAGCAGCTGAAAATATGACATTTGAGATGGGGATAATAGGATGGGACTGAGAAGTAGATTCATCTAGAAAAGTTTAAATGACAATCAAAGCATCCTCTGTACTTTAATTCTTGTATGTGTGATTAAAGAAACAGTCCAGCTTCTCGGCCTGACACTGTTATTCTTGTTCTGAGATATAATTGAGCCTGACACATAAGAGAGACATTGGCAGAGTTAAAATAGCTAAAATTGAAGGTATCCGTGTGACTAGAATGAGATCTGTGCTAGAAATGTGTCTTGGATATGTTTGCTGCCTTGAGTTACTTCTAAAGATAATAAAGGTGGAATGCAGAGAAATTTTAAAAATCCCTGGTGTTTTTTGTTTTTTACTTTGGATCTTTTTCGTATACAATGGGAAACATAATATAACTAGTATTACAGTAATTATTTATAAATTTGACATCTGTCTGCGGGGAAAGGAGATTAGTTACATAAAGGAGAACCAAGACAATATTATTATCTAGCATTATGGATAGAGAATAATAATGTGAAAAGAAAGGGAGGTTGAAGTCTTCATGCTGTGTATACTCACAGCTACACATAATATGCACCTACATGAAATGCATAGGTATGGAAGTTAGAAATGGGCATTCTCAGTTCATAGATAGAGACTGGATTCTTGAGCCTAGTTAGTATAAGACCAGTTCTGTGACTGACATTGAAGCATTTGCTACATTATTTTAGGCTTGCAAATGCTTGACTTTTCTATGCCTACAGCCTCATCGCAAAGCTTTGGGATATTTCTAGAGTGAGTTTGAGGTATGAGCTAAGTTTACAAATTTGGCTATGAAAGAGCAGGTGTTTCAACACCATCATCTACTAATTGATACAAAAAAAACCTGTGCTGCTTCTTGATATTTAATTTAACTTTTTTTTTTACCATCTGCATCCAGGCAAACAACAGGAGGAATCTTTCCTTTGGGAACTGCTGGGGTGGGGGAGTGGTGGTTATAAGTGACAATTTGTGTGCGTGTGTGCTCATTCTCTCTCCTTTTCTCTCACACACTTACACACAGTCAGATGCATTTGAATATACCAGCTGTCTAGTGTGTTACTATGTTATACTGCTTTTTTTTTTTAAGGATAAAAGAATACAACTCTGGCAACACACATTTTTTTTCAGTATTGCCAAGAATATATGCAAAGAATATGAAGACCATGTCTTTGAGTGCTAGTTATTCTTTTGCATAAACATGTTGTTAGCCTTGCAGTATTTTATATCCAGCATAGGAGATGGCATTTTCTTTGGTGGCCTAGAGCAGGGGTCCCCAACCACCGGGCCCTGGACCGGTACCGGTCCATGGATCATTTTGTACTGGGTCGCAAAGAATGAATAATCGTGATTAAAATATATATAAAAATATGTTTTTGCTTCCGGGTGTCTTATTTTGAAAGACAACCACTTCGGCCCTCGCCTAACTTCTGCGCTTGACTCTTTGGCGCGTATTTATCCTGCATCAGCAATGCAAGCTAGCCCTCGCAAAATGAGCCAGAAACAGAGGTCACTGGAGAGTTTTTTTGGAAAGGGTAATTTACGGGTTCATCGCTTATTTATTTAGTGTTATTGGAACCTTCACGCCCCTACCCGGTCCTTGAAAAAGTGTTTCTGCGTGAAACTGGTCCCTGGTACAAAAAAGGTTGGGGACCACTGGCCTAGAGGACTTGGAGATCTGTCAGGCATGCTTTCTTCACAATCCCATCAGTTCTGCTGCCTTAATCAACAGTAGCATGAGACTTCATGATGACTATCGCCCCATGTCAGAGTTTTTGCAGAGTTTTTGATTGACTGACTGCATTCAAAAAGCGAATCCTGTAACCATCAAAATGATGACTTTGACTAAATAGCAAAGAAGTTAGGACTTTTAATGACATTTTCTATGCAGGAATTGTCTGTGTCCAATACATCGATAGCAGACAGAAATAATTGACACGTAATATTGCAGCTGATCTTGAAACACTATCCAGGTTTATTTATGACATGGGTATACCTTATCCTTCAGGGTAGAATGGAGATTGGAATAGTTGGGGAGGCTTTTTCATTCAGATGATAATCATTGATGGATAAATATTTCTTTTCCCATTCCTACAGCACTTTGTGCTATGTTTAAAAGTATTAATAATGGTGATGGATAAATAAATGTTTAAGGCAAATAGCATTTTATAATATCTACTCATCATGTACGGCTCATATGAACATGGTGGAAGATATGGGAAGCAAGTTTGAGCAGTTTCTGATTTACAGTTACTAGATTTGCCTTTTCAGCTGCAGTGTTAATTTCATTACTCGTTTGAGGGATATAATGTGAATGCCTCCACTTTGTTTGCTGTAGCATTTGACATCTTCATTCAGGATAAAGTTGATTGGTAGAAAACTCTTGAAAGTCTACATTTATTATTGAGATATTAGAAAATCAACCACTTCAAGTAAAACAAACGAAACAACATTAAACACCAGCATCCTCTTAAGGCAGGGGTGTCAAACTCTATTTCATTGAGGGTCACATCAGGGTTGTGTTTGACCTGGAGTGGGGGGGCAGGGTGGGTGTGGCCAGCTCAATGTCACTTCTGTAGGGAGCACCTGTGGTGGCCCGAGTGTTCTGCCAGTGAAAATAGGCTTCTAAGCTTCGTTTTCGGCTGCACATGTCCGGAGCTCCCTTTTCACTGGCAGAGGGTTGCAGGAGGCTATAGAAGCCAAAAATGGAGCTTAGGAACCCGTTTTCACTGGGAGAAGCACTGTGAACCAGTTCTTTGCTGTTTCCAGTGGGCCCCGTGGGTCAGATCTTAAGTATCCTGTGGGCTGGATGTAGTGCCCAGGCCTTGAGTTTGACACCCCTGTCTAGAAAGAAAAAATGGAATGACGATTAAGGGAGAGGAGTAAAAAAAGAAACATTCATTGTTGTTATAAAGATCACTAGCAGAAAGGTGGCACACCTCTTGGTAAAACACAAGTAGCTAATTGGAGATCCTGTGTCCCGTGGCTCCTGCCTTGCTTGGTCCTTCTGAGCTTGTAAAATAATTCTGCCTCCTGGGCTGTCAAAATCTTCTCTGTGTCTCTTTTTTCTGTCAGTGAACAGTTATGGGGATGATGAAGATCTCACAACATCCTCAGACAGTGATGAAGAGGTGATTAAACAGTTTGAGATTTCAGTTTCTCGTTCGCAGAGCTTTCGATCAGGAGTTTCTGAAAAAGGAATCCAAGCAGGTTTGGAGCACAGGCCAAAATTTAACTGCTTGTTGTCAAATCATGAAGAATACAGTACTGAGGCCTCTGAAAGTGAAGGTATTTTATAACTCTTTCAAAAACAAAACAAAACCATGAATGGAAATTGCAGAGATAAATAAAATGTGCATCAGGTTTCGCTAAGTCAAGGGATAAATCAAGTGGTCAACAACATGACTAGAATTTGCTCCAGGGTTGAAGGCCTATGGACATCTTCTCATACTAGCACCGCTTCTGCTAAGCCTCTCTTAAAATTAGTCAAAACTTAATAGTAAATATGACAAAAGCCATAAAATCAAAAGCTTATAATGTTAATCTAAAATCAACACATCACTTAAAAATGAAATGGGCAAAAAAAAAATTTTAGGAGTACTTGGGAAACAGGCATGCGCTCACAAGCTTCTTAACTTCTCCTATAACTTCTACATCTAACACCTTAATAGGTTGATAAAATAAACGTTTGACTTGGGTAAACTGTAATAATGGTTGCTGTAGCCATCACGCTATTGTCTTAAGAAAGCACAATTAATACCATTTTATGATAAGTCAAATGTACAGATAATCCTCGGCTTACAATCATTGTTTAGTGGCCATTCAAAGTTAAAATGACACCTAAAAAAATGACTTATGGCCATTTTTCACACTTATAATCTTTGCAGAGTTCTGTGATGACCCAGGGCGTGGCACAAAGGCAACACAGTCAGATAATCAGTAGAAGTCCCTTCATTAGCTCCAACTTTGCCCCAATGTCCTGGTTACCTTCTGGGCTGGAGAAAAACTCTACCAGGAACAGCCTTTGGCTGCAGAGAATCAAGTCCAAAATGTGGTCAACAAAAACTGTAACTATAAGTTCAGTCAAGGCAAGATGAGGTAAATTAGTCCAGCAGTGCAAGAGAAGGAATTCCAGACGTGAAGGGATGGCAGTAATTCAACACGATTGGGAAGATGCCAGGAACACAGATAACCAAAGTCAACACAAGATAAACTCAACGTTTGTTCCCAGCAGATGCTGCACTTAGCTTGCATCTCTTTTAAACTCTCATTCCCAGGTGTGGCTAATGAAGGAAATGAGGGCCCTTTCATTCCCTGTAAGCCACGCAACCCACGTTGCTCTCTTCTCCATTCCTCCCTGCATGACCTAGGATGAAGAGGGGGGTGGGCCTGGGTCTTCCTCTGAACTCCCTCTCCCTTGTTCTACCTCTCCCCTGCTCTGCCCAGCCGGACTTTGCCCTTCCCCAGTTTCCATCACAGCCAATGGAGCCACACTCAGCTGTCAGCCACACTCAGCTGTCACACTCAGCTGTCAGCCACACTCAGCTGTCAGCTGGCAGGCATTTATAAGGGTTTCAGTGTCCTGGGGACATGTGATCAACTTTTGTGGTCTTCTGACAAGCAAAGTCAACAGGGAAGCCAGACTCATTTAACAACCATGTCACTAACTTAACAACTGTGGCAAGAAAGGTCATAAAATGGAGGCAAAACCCACGTAACAACTGTCTTATTTAGCAGCAGAAAATTTGGACTCAATTGTGATCGTAAGTTGAGGTCTATATGTGTTTGTCAAGATGCCTTTGCTGATGACAACTCTGAAAGTGGCATAGGGAGGGACCTAAGATATGACTTCAGAAAACGAGTCAAGGTGGTTTTTAAACCAGGTTGCTTGGCCTAAATTTCTCAACCGCAACAACGTTAAGATGGGTAGACTTCAAACTCCCAGAATTTCCCAACCAGCATGCTGAGGTTGAGATTGCTGAAGCTGCCAAACATTGGTTTAAATCAGACTTCTCCATTTAGCACCCTCCAGAGAGAGAATGCCAAGTTGGAAAAAAGCTGGAGTTGGTGTACCATGCACTTTGGAATATATCTCACTGACTGTTTCTAGTACAGCTAGTTCAACTTTTGGAAATTCTTTATGAGGAATCCTGTAATAAACTTTTAAGTGAACTTCACGGCAGCGTTTTCAGAAGAAACTGAATTTTTTTGTATTCCAAAATAGGCCCCATTTGTTTCAGGAAGGCTTGGCTCCCAAGAGCAGGAATAGGATTGCAGCCTTAGGCAGTCAGTAGATTGCCTTGAATTACATTTCTTAACCTTCAAATAGATTTTAACGCTTAACTGATACTCTGGCTGCAAGCCAGATTTGCAAGGCACTGAATATGTGTGCTGGGGGAGGCTCTGTGTGGGAAGTGTGTAACATAATTTCTCACTAGAGAAGCACTTCTATTCTGAAAGCTTATGGCATTTTATTTATTTATTTTAAATTTTAAAACCTGTCTTCCAGCCTACTGCTCTGGTCTGTGCCAAGTGTATATCAAACATGTACTGCTTATGTTAGAGCTACAATCTGTGATGTACACCATGTTCTGTTCAACATCAATGGTGCCCGGAGCCTTCATAGTGGAATGAAAAACATCCTATAACACTCTTGTAGGAAGGAATGCCCATGGCCCTCCAAACAGGCTTATTCCGAACAAACACATAGGGAATTGTATGCAAGATGCCAGTCGGTTTGCTTGCTTACCTGGGAATTGGTTGGAGTTGGTTTTCAGTTAATGAAATCAAAAGATAAGCAGTGGTGACTTCAGGAAGAATTGAATGAGGAAGAAATACTTCATAAATGTTCGGAAGTCTCAGCAGCATGTCTTGAACTTTATGAAACAATTTCTATTATTCCTGATTCTGCCAATTTTGCTTCCATTTCCCCTAAAGGCCCTTGACTATGGTGCTCCAGAAGTCCTTTAAAAGTTGTTCTTCCATTGTAATTGTTAATAAAAGAAAGGGGGAATCATTATACTAATTACACTAGTACAGTTAATTAAACTTCTTGAACATTAGTTTGGTTACAGTGGCAATGGGTGCCCAGTTGAAAGACCTGAAAAGCCACATTGGAAACAAATCATTGTGCAAAATGCATACCTTTGATATAGAAAAGAGATTTTTATGACGTTCATCATAGGGAATAACTGGATTGTATACATGAAACAAACTTCTTAAGCGTGGGACTAACTACGTCATACCTTTAAATGATGCCTTGCAATTTATAACTAATTGTAACTAAATCTGGAATCCTCAACCTCTTTTTTAACTGGAATAGTTTTATTTCATGCTAATGACTCAGAATTTATGTAGTATAATTTCAGGGCCCTAAATTGGATTGTGTATACAGTATCTAATTTTTTTTTTTTTTGCTTGAAATGAATTAGATTTAGATGGGTTCAGTCACCTGAGTTACCAAGACAACCTGTCTTCTCATGAAGATGACCTTCAATCCATCAGTTCGAGAGTGGTGGAGAGCAGGAGCTCTGGGCAGCCAAAAGACTCTGAGGTGGATGTTAGTGCAACACCCAGCCTCAGCCGACAAGAAACTGAAGGAAGTTTGGAAATGGAAACAGCTTTCAGCAACCAAGGATTTGAAGGGAATGATGAAACTGACAGCTCATCAGCTTGGAGTCCAGAGGTAAGAAAAGATATATAAGAGTGTGCGTGGTTCTCTGAAGTCTTGTTAGCAACGGCTGCTTTTGAATGTACTTGTCAACTCTGGGATTCATCGTTGCCATAGAGTTCTGGAGGGAGGAAGTGATGTATTGAATAGCTCTTAGGAAAAAAAAATACTATGAGTTATTAGTTCAAGGTGTGAAAAAGGGGGTGGAGGTAGGTGGAATTTTGTGGGATCAGCTGGTATATTGGTCTTGGAGTTAATGTTTCAAATGAAGGATTGCTGGAAGTCTGACAGTACTATGTTAAGACTACATATTGCAAGTTTGGGTATTTGTGTTTTTACCATCTTTGGACTGTGGATATTCTCTGAACCCGTTTAGTAGGATGGTTTTCATATGATCATGTCCACGGTAAAGTAGCAAATATAAAAGGTTCATATTTCAAAGTTGTTGGATTTGTATGATCATCCCATTATCTAAACTCATGGCTTGTAGTCCAGTCGTGAAGTCAGATAGGCAATAATTGGTCCTCAAATAGATGAATAACTTCACTACTTGAGTATGTCCGCACGGATAACTTAAACCAACTGTCATATCCCTTTCTCTAGACATTATTGCAAACTCTAGTTCCAAGTACTATGCTATATACTTCTAGTGCAGGAGTGTCAAACTCAAGGCTGGTGGGCTGCATCCAGCCTGCGGGGCCGACCTGAAAACAACAAAGGACCAGTTCATGGTGCCTCTGCCAGTGAAAATGGAGCTTGGGGAGGTTGGGCGCGGCCCACTGGTGCTCTATTTTTATCTTTGACAGCCTCCTGCAGCCTTCTGCCAGTGAAAATGGAGTTTGGTGAGGCTGAGTGCCGCCCACCAGGGCTCCATTTTTGGGTGTTTGGGCCAGGATGGCTTCCTGCAGCCCACTGCAGCAAAAACAGAGCTCTGAGGGGCTGCGGCGGCTCTGAGCTCTGTTTTCGCTTATAGAGGGTTGCAGGAGACCATCCCAGCTGAAAATGGAGCCAGGGAAGGGTTGCGTGTGGCCCTCCTGAGCTCCGTTTTTGCTGGCAGAGGCTAGCAAAATAAACTAAAAACAAAACAAAAGGAGAAATGTTTCCCCTTTTGCATTTATTTATTTATTTATTTTATTTGTCAAGCAAGTATTAGATAACAGGTATAAGCATGGTTATGAATACATAAAATGGATACTAATAAAAAAAGAAACAATAGGACAGGGACGATAGGCATGTTGGTGCGCTTATGCACGCCCCCTACAGACCTCTTAGGAAAGGGGTGAGGTCAATAGTACAAAGTCTAAGGTTAAAGTTTTTAGGGTTTGGGGAAGAAACCACATAGTCAGGTAGAGTATTCCAGACATTGACCACTCTGTTGCTGAAGTCATATTTCCTGCAATCAAGTTTGGTGCAGTTAACCTTGAGTTTGCATCTATTGTGTGCTCTTGTATTGTTGTGATTGAAACTGAAGTATTCATTGACAGGTAGGACATTGCAATAGATAATTTTATGTACTATACTTAGATCGGACCAAAGGCGGCGTAGTTCTAGGTTGTCTAGGTCTAAAATTTCAAGTCTGGTGGCATAAGGTATTCTGCTACGAGTAGAGGAGTGGAGAACTCTTCTTGTGAAATATTTCTGGACTTTCTCGACTGTATTAATACCCGTTATGTAATGCGGATTCCAGACTGATGAGCTGTATTCAAGTATTGGTCTAGCAAATGTTTTGTATGCTCTAGTGTGATGTTACCGGAGAAAAAACTACGCAGCATTAGGTTAACAACTCTTAATGTCTTTTTGGCTATGTAGTTACAGTGGGCTCTAGCACTTAGATCATTAGAGATGAGTACTCCAAGGTCCTTGACATAGTTGGGGTCATCAACAAGGTCTTGATTATTCAGCTTGTATTTTATTTTTTGATTATTATTTTCTGATTATTATTTATTTTCGTGCAAGAAGGGACAGGAAAGGAGAAAGGGGAAGAGGAAAGACAAAAAAAGAAGGGAAGATGGGAAGAGAGCAAGGCAGGAAAAATAAAGAAAGAGGGGAAGGAAGAAGAAAGGAGAATGAAAAGGAAAAGAAAAAGAACAGGACTTCGTATAATGAGAATGAGGGAGGATCTGAGGGAAGTCCTGCCTTAGCTCTTGGCCACCACAGGTATCCCTGATATGAGTGACATCAAGCTGGCCAGGGTCACCCCGGCCACAGGACCCAAAGGCCCCCAAGGTCAAACACAACCCTGATGCAGCCCTCAATGAATTGAGTTTGACACCCTGCTCTAATGGGAGTTATTAAAGATCATGTCAAGTTGCAATCCCTTGGATTATGTACAGGAAATCTGAAATCTGGCTCTTCTCTGTAATGACCCTACAAGAGTGATTGATATTATTCCCACTGTACAAATTGTAAATTGAAATGGAAAAGTAAGATTTAATTTTAGAGAGTCTCCTCTTAGTTTCAAAAATCCATCTCACTGTCCTCCTGTGATTTCCACTCCATTTGTTGCTAACAGAACAATTTTGCTTGCTAGAATTTAAGAGATCAGGATGTTGTTGTAATTCCAGTCAGGAGCACTGAGAGTTGAGTCCTACATAGTCACAGGGGCAATCTATGCAGGGAATCTGCTAAATTACAATGGAAGTTTCTCCCATCTCCAAGCAATCTTTGTAGTGCATGATTTGTCTTCGTATGGTAGCCTCTGGGTGCTGGGAGATGCCCACTTGCAGATCTTGGAAGTTGCTTTCTACTGCCTCTGAAATATTTTTAGTGTAGGGCAGGGAATGCCATATAATTAGTCTTGTATCTTCTTTCTCTCCCCTGCATATTGCACAGGCATCTTGTTGTAAACAAGATTGTGGGTAGCCATTCTGCCTGAATTGTTCAAGTAGGCACTTGTTCTCCAGTTGGTTTGCTTGCTGGGTACTACAGTGTATTCTTACCCTGCCTTACAGTGTTTTGACGCAACTCTTTTTATGTGACAGTGGTAAACCCATTGTTTGTGATAGTTCATGCAAAAAACCTGAGCCAAGGTTTTGACTAGTAAGCCCCTTCCTGTGTTTGGAGCATTGAACATAGCAAGTCTGGATCTCTGTATGCTTTGCAGTCACTACATCCCTATTATATAGTTGCACAATCTCTAATGCTTTTGTTTTTAGATTTAGTTTTCTAGGACCTTGAATTACTCATCAGACAGCTGATTGGTTAGTCACCTCAAGTGGCTTGTGCGTTTCTCCACTCTGAATGCCACTTCCATAATCAGTCTGTTGATTTACAAAAAGGCTTTACACACTTTTTTCTTTTATTAGCTCATCTTTATCATTCCTCCTGAGCCTACAAGGTATTGATCACTTGGTCCTCGTTGGCTGAATGATCCCAAGGCCACAAGCTTGGGAATGTATGGAACATCACCAAGCCCACCAAGAATCAGGACTGTTACCTAAACATTTCATTTGAATCTCACTGGGCACTAAACAGATAATAGGGGAGGGGTCTGAGTAGGTAGGCAGATTTCGCGTACAAGCTTTGGATCTGGCTTTCACCTCGTTGAGTTCTTCATCTATATCTTCTTCCTATTTTTAGAGAATTAACACCTGAGCTTTTATCTCAAGGGCTGAACTGAAATGAAGGAGACTTTAGTCATTCATTATGAGCCCCTCTCATGATTCATACAAAGATACCTCCTGCTGCTCCTCCTCTTCTTCAGTCTTATCCCCCTCTTCATTTCTGTGTCTTCTGATCATCTCCATTGGTTGTGGAGTTAAGATGATGCAGTTTCTCCCATCCCATTCCATGAATATACACGTCCTTCTGTTAGGAACAGTAAGATTTGGTACTGGGCCTGTCCCAACTGGGCCAGTAGAACAGAAGAGCCATTGACTGCATCATTAGTGAAAGGAGTAGCTTTACTAAAGACAAATGGTTACAACCCAGGTGAAAGCCAGATCCAAAGTTTGTACGTGAAATCTGCCTACTTACTCAGACCCCCTCCTCTATTATCTGTTTAGTGCCCAGTGAGATTCAAATGAAATGTTTAGGTAACAGTCCTGATTCTTGGTGGGCTTGGTGATGTTCCATATTCCATTCCCAAGCTTGTGGCCTTGGGATCATTCAGCCAATGTTTCTGCCAGGCATTCAGTGTAAGTTCAGTTTCTGTTTACTTCCTCCCATGTGTTGGCTCCTCCTTCCTCACTCCTCTTCTCAGTGAAGTGGAGATGAGGTGGAGCAGAATGGCAGCAATCACATTTGGACTTTTTTTTTTAAAAAAAGATACTCTCTTTTTCTGAGTAAGTCAGTACCTATTGATTAATTACCCCTTATAATGCAAGGTGTGCCCTCTCTTTGTGCAATAGTTACATTTTGGGATAGAAATTGGAAAGATCCAGGTTGAAATCCAGCCTCGGTCATGGAAACCCACTGAACAATTTTCAGCCAGTCCATCTGCCTCAGCCAAACCCACCTCACCAGGTTGTTATGGGTGAAAAAAAATGGAGAAGGGGATGTTCCTTTGTACTTCTGGAGGAAAGGCAGTTTATAACTCTGGCAAACAAAATGAACATTTTAAAAGTGCCAAGTTTTTTTATTTTTGAGCAGCCAGTTTCCTCATTTGGACAGCACAAGCAATTATGATTTTAGAAGCTGGTATATTCTCCTTCTCACAGGAGAGCTACAAGAAGAAATAATGGGAGTAGGCAGTACTAAACCTCATCTCCTCTGCTCATTCCAGTGTATGTTGCACTGGAACCATTATGTCTGAACTGGGCTGTACAAAGTTGGAAAGTTGCTTTAAAAACCTGCATTCTGCTCAAAAACCTGCATTCAGTATGTCTGTGCTGGGTGCTTCCCCTCCAGCTACATTGTGTAGCAGATGTAAAAGGCCGAATCTCATTTTCTAACTTTCTAAAATGATTCCATCATCTCTGAATTCTGTTGAGACTTCCACCTATTCAGAAACAGAAATCTCATTTTGACAATGTAAATTATAAACAACATGTTAGGGCCATTTCCATAATTGCCTGTTTTGTCCGACAGATGTTGTCTCCCCATCTCATCCCAACCTACCCACCCACCTTCACCTCTGCTTTTTTCTTTAATTTCACACATTTATATAAAACCCTTTCTAGGATGGGTGTTTTTTTTAAAGACCCCCTTTAGCAAAATCTAACTTTCATTCTATCTTTCTCCCTGAAGAAAGAGTATTGTTTTTTGAACTGTTGAGCATTTGGGAATTATTTTGGAATAATCTCCTCCTCCTCCTCCTCCTCCTCCTCCTCCTCCTCCTCCTCCTCTTTGGCCCCCACTTTTCTTTTGCTAATTGGGCATACAATTGTTGATGTCATTGACCCATCTTCTTTTAGGTCTTTTTTGTAGACACTTTTCATCAAGTGGATTTTGGAATTATTACACAAATTTATATTTGCATATAATGTGTTGAAGTGTAAATATTTCTAGAATTCTGACTCCAATGCTGACATATGATGATCATAAACTAAATGAACTCTATATATACCTTGTTGCATTAGTAAAGTTTCTCATTGTAAATTACCCAGGTATCTTTTTAAAGGTTCCAACTCTTTCTATATCCAGATAAACAGCTCAGTTATTCACCTATAGCAGGGGTCTGCAAACTTTCCATATCCAGATAAACAGCTCAGTTCAAGCAGGGGTCTGCAAACTTGACAGCTTTAAGACTTGTGGACTTCAACTCCCAGAATTCCTCCTCCAGTTATGTTAGCTCATGAATTCTGGGAGTTGAAGTCCACAAGTCTTAAAGATGTCAAGTTTGAAGACCCTTGATGTACAGTCAATTATGATCTTACAAGTAGACATGACTAATTCTGTGTTTGTTTGTGGCCCCATTGTTTAGCCAGCAAAATGCAGGATTTGTCTGCATATCCAGGATAGCTACTGCAGTGGGTACCAAGATCCATAAAGTACTTCGAACAAATGCCTGGGCACCACTCAAGTAGAATGATTGCAATTAGCTAAGAAAGCAACAGTGAATCAATTGTCTGGACTCTTAGGGTGTTCAAGCCAGGATTCAACTCATCTTTTAGCGAAATCAGTCTTGTCTACTATAGAACATAGAATCACAGGGCTGGAATCACAGGGCTGAGGGGTCCTAACGCCCTGCTCATTATACTATCCTGGTCAAATGGTTATCCAGTCTGTTTTTCAAAACCTCCAGTGATGGAGCCACCACAACTCCGGGAGGCAAGCTGTTGCATGTGACATATCTTGCTGAATGCAGCCAGCCCACTTTGCAGGGTAGCGATCAATTATGTAAGAAACTTTATGTTTCGTATTACAGAATCGACAGAATACTGAGCACCAAGCAGAATACAAGGCATGGTGGATTACCTGTCTCTGGTGAGGTGATTAACAAGTAGTTGTCATGGTCATCATCAACATCATTGTTATTATTTCTTTCTGGCACTTCCATGCCATTTTCCAAATAAAAATATATAATCAAGGCAATCGAAAGAAGAAATAGTGACCAGCAGCAAAAGAGTAATATATAAAATATTCTGCATCAGTGGGCTAGAAGGGTTCTGAAATACAGCTATAGGAGTAAATCCTTAAATTCCTTCTGCAGACCTACCCTGCTCCCTGAATATCCTGTTCTTTCACAGCATATTCATGTTTAAATAGAAAGGAAAGGTCTCTATGGCAACCCATTTTAATCTGAGATTAAAAAGCACCTTTGAACAGAAAACACACACCCAGGAAACTAAGCACCTGACTCTCCCTCTTTCCTCTTCACAGGCTTTTCTTTTATCGAAAGTAAATTTTGTTTTAAAAATAGAAGAAGAAAAGGGATTAGATGAAAAGTGTAGATGGATCTGTCTGGAGAAACGCATTGAAAAATAGGAAAGAAAACATTTTGTGCTGTTTGATGTCATCTGTAGGCATGAAAAGGCTTAGATTTAGTGCCCAGGGAAGACTAAAAACATATGTTTATGCCTTCACAGGGGATGAAGACATAAGTGGAATATTCTGCTTTCTATGATAGGGGATATAGCTCTTTGCAGAACAAGAACCCAGTAATGCATTTCTTTTTGTACAGATAAATGGCATTCAAGAATTTGTCCCAAAATCTTTTTGTCAAACGTAATTTTTACTTATCTTTCATACTTATCTTTTCAATAATGGAGGGTTTTCTTCTTAGATCTGAATTTCTCTTCTGTACTCAATCCTTTGATCTTAATATGTAACTCCTCTGTATGGATCTCCCTTCTCCATTCTGTTTGGCCTCCTGTCTTTCATAAATAATCTGTCAGTGTTCCAACAAACATCCCTAACGGAATCAAAACTCCAAGGCAAAGCATTGATTTATTAGGCATATCATATTGGTACATCTGGGGAAAACCTGAAGGATCCGAGGTTTTCCCCACCCAAACCAAAACCCCAAAGTTCTTTCCCCCAGGTTATATCCTCCATCCTGGCTGGCTTTGGTCCACGCCTCTCCAACACCTGGTAGGACATCCTTGGCTCCCACGGGAAAGAATGTTGTTTTGGCTACACATTCCCAGCTATCTCTATCTCCCCCCTCCCCATGTTCCCACAGCTCCAGCCAGCCTTGCTGTGGCAGCTCTGAAGATGCTTCCAAAATGGCTTCAGCCCAAAATGGCTTCAGGACTGACATAATCATCCAGCCATATTTCCCTGAAGCTCCTGACTCTGACTCATTTTTCCCTGATTTTCAAGCCATGCTATGTCCCCCTGTCCATTATCTGTTATTTCTTTTGAATTCCTAGACCGTGTCTCTTTTTCTCTACTTTCTCCACTATCAAAAAAGGCAGAAGTGTCCTCTTGACTTCTGTCTTCTTCCAACTCAACATGCTTTTTCCCCATTTCTTGTTGACAATTAGACAATACCCAGAATCACTGATCTGCAATTACTTAATTACTATCTATTAGTAAATAATGAGGCTTTTCAATTCCAATTTTGTATTTTTTTCCCATTAAAGGAACATGAAGAAGCAAATGTCCTTCCAGCTCATACTAGTGCCTATGAGCCAATTTCAAGATGTGGTGACTTAGATATCATCTTTGATTACAAACCATCGAGCCAGAAATTGGTGGTGACTATTATCGAAGCTAAAGATATACCAGACAAGGACCGCAGTGGAGCAAGTACCTGGCAGGTACACACAGTCCTGATGCCCAGCAAGAAACAGCGTGGGAAGACAAGTGTCCAGAAAGGGCCCAACCCAACGTTCAAGGACAAAGTGACCTTCACTAAGTTGGCACCTGAAATGCTGAGCAGCTACGCTCTCCGGTTCCGCCTCTATTCTGTGCGCAAAATGATGAAGGAGAGAATGATGGGGGAGCAGTTGTTTTATCTTAGCCACCTCAACCAAGAGGGGGAAATGAAGACCACGCTGGTTCTGGAACCAAGGAGCAACTTATGTGTAAGTAGAATTAAATTGGGGACAAATTATTAAAGTTCTTATTGCATTTCCTTTCACTGGGATAAAAGAGGAGAGTTTACAGCCATGATGAATTGCATATTGTCTATAAACTGAATGGTCAAGATTGATCTATAAAATAATTCTCAAGAATTTGAATAAGAAATGCTATAAATAGTGAGGGTATGAAATCTAGTGCCCCCCACCCCCCGAATGTTTTAGACTTCCCTTCAAACATTTGAAATCCTAAAATCTAGTGGTATCAAAACCTGCAATAGTAAAATTGCATGCATAAACTGACCATACATACAGGTGAAACTCAAAAAATTAGAATATCGTGCAAAAGTTCATTTATTTCAGTAATGCAACTTAAAAGATGAAACTAATATATGAGATAGACTCATTACATGCAAAGCAAGATAATTCAAGCCGTGATTTGGCATAATTGAAATGATTATGGCTTACAGCTCATGAAAACCCCAAATCCACAATCTCAGAAAATTAGAATATTGTGAAAAGGTTCAATATTCTAGGTTCAAAGTGTCCCACTCTAATCAGCTAATTAAGCCATAACACCTGCAAAGGGTTCCTGGGCCTTTAAATTGTCTCTCAGTTTGGTTCAGTAGGAATCACAATCATGGGAAAGACTGCTGACCTGACAGTTGTGCAGAAAACCATCATTGACACCCTCCATAAGGAGGGAAAGCCTCAAAAGGTAATTGCAAAAGAAGTTGGATGTTCCCAAAGTGCTGTATCAAAGCACATTAATAGAAAGTTATGTGGAAGGGAAAAGTGTGGAAGAAAAGGGTGCACAAGCAGCAGGGATGACTGCAGCCTGGAGAGGATTGTCAGGAAAAGGCTATTCAAAAGTGTTGGGGACTTTCACAAGGAGTGGAGTCAGTGCATCAAGAGCCACCACACACAGACGGATTCTGGACATGGGCTTCAAATGTTGTATTCCTCTTGTCAAGCCGCTCCTGAACAACAAACATCAGAAGTGTCTTACCTGGTCTAAAGAAAAACAGACCTGCCCTCTTTCCTGATGAGAGCAACTTTTGCATCTCATTTGGAAGCCAAGGACCCAGAGTCTGGAGGAAGAATGGAGAGGCACACACTGAAAGATGCTTGAAGTCCAGTGTGAAGTTTCCACAGTCTGTGTTGATTTGGGGAGCCATGTCATCTGCTGGTGTTGGTCCACTGTGTTTCATTAAGTCCAGGGTCAACGCAGCCATCTACCAGAAGATTTTGGAGCACTTCATGCTTCCTTCCACAGACGAGCTTTATGGGGATGCTGACTTCATTTTCCAGCAGGACTTGGCACCTGCCCACACTGCCAAAAGCACCAAAACCTGGTTCAATGACCATGGGATTACTGTGCTTGACTGGCCAGCAAACTCACCTGATCTGAACCCCATAGACAATCTATGGGTCATTGCCAAGAGAAAGATGAGAGACATGAGACCGAACAATGCAGAAGAGCTGAAGGCCGCTATTGAAGCATCTTGGTCTTCCATAACACCTCAGCAGTGCCACAGGCTGATAGCTTCCATGCCACGTCGCATTGAGGCAGTAATTGCTGCAAAAGGGGCCCAAACCAAGTACTTAGTACATATGCATGCTTATACTTTTCAGAGGTCCAATATTGTTCTATGTACAATCCTTGTTTTATTGATTGCATGTAATATTCTAATTTTCTGAGATTGTGGATTTGGGGTTTTCATGAGCTGTAAGCCATAATCATCTCAATTATGATAAATCACGGCTTGAACTATCTTGCTTTGCATGTAATGAGTCTATCTCATTTATTAGTTTCACCTTTTAAGTTGCATTACTGAAATAAATGAACTTTTGCACGCTATTCTAATTTTTTGAGTTTCACCTGTACAGGCTGGTATGAAGCCATGGGTGCATGCAAAGCCTTCATAGAAAAAAATGGGTATTGAGGAGAAGCTTGAACAAAGCAGGAATGAAATTGTGGTTCAGATATTTAGAGGCAATTATACATGAAGGCAGAAAGAAAGAAAAAAGCAGTATTTTCTAAGTGGAAATATCAAGATTACACCATAGATATATTTGAATATAAAGGCAAAGAGGGAAAGTGAGGCAAGGAGAAGAAATACGGAATAGTGACAAAGAACTTGTACTGGAGCTGCAATGCAATAACCCGGGTAGTTTTCTATATTTTTAATTTTATCTGCCTGTTTTAGTGCAGAACTTTGTATAATACTTAAGAATTTTAATTTCTGATTAATACTTTTTGTTGTTGTTGGCTTTTTAAAAAATCTTTCTTCATCCACAGAGTGGAGGCTCCCAACTGAGTCTCTCGGCCATCTCTCACAGTGACAGTGCTTCTTCGACCCAGTCTCTCTCCCACGGAGGAATCCCAGAACTGCTGGTAGGACTATCCTACAATGCTACAACAGGCAGACTGTCGGTTGAGATGATCAAAGGCAGCCACTTCCGGAACCTTGCTATTAACAGACCACCAGGTATATAAATATATGACCACCTGGTCTCATGGATGTAGAACTTGGACTATCATTGCCTTGTTTCTTTGGTATGAAAAAAGCACCGGCCTACAAAAACTGGGAGCGATTTTGAAAAAAGGGCCTAATCTTGGGCATGTGCATGTCCCATTTGTGAATATAAACAGGTCGTGTGTGTGTGTGTGTGTGTCTGAAAAATCTGAAATGTTTAATTAGAAATAGTGGGGAGAGAGGGAAGGGAGGGAGGGAGGGACACAACCTCTATTGTAAGCACAAGTGTTTTGGTTTTCCAGGACCTAGACATATACTGTATATTCTTCCAAACTACAAAAAACATCTTCTGCCATTTGGGCTTCTCTTTTGGCATTTCAGTACAGAATTTTTGAGTAATGTGATTTCACTCTGTAGTTTCCAGTTCGGTCATTCAGAGCTGCCTATGCTTCAGTAGAGTCAGGTTGGGTGTTTAGGGTACTTTTGGCATTTCTGAGTAATGAGTTGCTTTAGCAGCTATAGAGCTAGACCATAATTGATTATTACATTAGACCAGGTAGGAATTTTCTAGCTACTCAACTTACCTGACTTCTTGGGCTAAAGGCTCCAGGACAGTTTTTTGTCCAATTTCCACTGGCTGAGAACTCTGAGAGTTGAGGTCCACACCTTTGAATTTGCTGAAGTTGAGAAACACTGGCCCAGGACCTCAGAAATCAGGCTATGGACTAGGATGGCCTTGGACTAAAAGCTGCTTTGGAGATGATCAGCTAAAGGATGCAGAAGTTGGCATGGTTTATTTATTGGCTCACTAGGTTTTCAAGTATTTTGAAAGAATGCTTGATTTCTTGGAAATCTTTATTCAGCTTGCCGGGGCACCTTTAAGCACACTCTGTTGCATTGGATCCAGAGACATATTATTTTTCTTCTCTCTCCCAGCTGTCTCTTCTGAATTGTTTTTTTTTTAAATTGATTAGACCAAGAGAAAGTGAAGACCAAGAATGCATCTCTATAAGGATTTTAAACACTTTTCTTCCCATTTTGCTTGGATTACTTGATTTTTTTTTCGTCTTCTACTTTTCCTAAGAAATACACTCAAATGTAGGAACAAGTTTCTTTTTCCTTAGTATAATTTCAGTCCCCCCCCCACTACTTAGTGTTGTTTCAGCTTGCATTTTTAATTATTTTGTTTCCCCTCAAAAGAATGTGTACAATAGTGCACAGTATAGGATTGGAATGAGATGATTTCCTGCATTGCTAATTAATGCTTTATGGAAAGGTACTGTGAAAACTCTTCCTTTAAAGAACGTAGACTTAACTGTGAAAAAAATAAACAGACAACAAAAAGGTGTGTACCTAACAGTGCACAAGACACTGATTAAGGCAAAAAAAAAAAAAAAATCTGCCAAGAGAGTGGGACAAAACCAACCCCTAGGCTTCACAGCGCTTCAAAAAGAAAAAAAAAACAGATTTCATAGGATAATTAGAGCCTTGCTTGCCTGTGATGATATCCCCAACTTATTATCTCTACCACACAAATGTAATAACAGTAATAATACAAAAGAGCAGATTTGTGCGGTGAAAAACACAAATCTGAAATGCTGGCTGGGACTCAGGGTGGCATTTCCTCTGAAAGAAACTGGATATAATTTAGCTGTAACCTTTGACTTCAAAAGGTATTATCAAACCTGTTCCACCTGGCAAAATCATCACAAGGTTGGAAGCGTAGGAGATTCAAATGAGTCAAACTTCCATTGCAGCAAGTACTGTAGCTTGTCACAGTAAAGCCATCGTCTTCCAGGATGTGAACAATGGAAAGTTAAGCTAGTTTGAGTCATAGGAGATTGGCTTGCTGCCTTCCAAATTGAGTTCATTTTTTTTTTTTCTTATAATGGCAATAGTTCACATTTTTAGAAGTCAGAATAAAGCCTTCCTGCTGAGTAGATTTTTGGATTAGATGATGGCCTCTTCTTGAATATGTTGTAGCACTGCCATGGAATAGAGCCTATCTCAGGCCGGCTTTGTGTTTAATTACTTGTCTGGTTGCCATAGGCTAGAATTGGCAAATGTACTTTGCTGGTTGAGAAGGATGTTCTCTTAGTTGGCTCAGAGAAGGAAGGCAATTTCTTCTTACAAATTTGCTAGGAGACCAGTGGCCTAAATTTCCATGGTTGTCACAGGAAAGGCAGCCCAAATGGAAATACCAGGATAAATACTGGTGCAGGACTTAACAAAGACGATCAACCTGTTATATTCCCACATGCTGTCAAGGGTGAATCCTAAGCCTCAGGGTCTGGTCTACATTTGATACATTTTCTAGGACTTATAGTGAGAAGATTTGCTGGAATTTTGTTGCCCACCACTTGATGTATTCTAGATGTGTCCAGTTTGATAAATACTGAGAATATATCAGAATGAATAAAGTTGTGGTGGACAGACAGCTGTATTTTGTTTTTAGGCAAGGTTTCCTGGTGGAGCATGGAAAACAAGGACCAACGCCTTGTCTCAAGTACTGAGATAGTCATATAGATTTAACAACACTTAGCGGCCCAGCCCTGCAAAGCAAATTCATTTTCCTCAGTGCATCACATAAAACTGTTTTATTTCCTATGTTTAGCTTCTGTTCTGTTTGCTTTCTGCTGGAGCGTGTGATGTTCTGAGGAGCTGACTGAGTCAACAGTATGAGGGCCAAAGTTCTTGTGTTCGCTAAGCAAGCAGTGGGTGTTCCACTGAGCCCTAGCTGAAGATTTCTGCTCCATTCCCAGTGAGGAAGATCAACCTCCATCATTTGGTTTCCCTTCATGTTCATCATGGCAAGTCCCATCATGGCAATCCTATTTCTTTAAATTGGAATTTCCAGCCAGGGAGAATCTGATTCCCTCCCACCGGGAATGGATAAGTTACTCCTGCACAGAATAGATTTTATAGAGTTGTCCCAAAAGTACTTTTTCCAAAAGGCAACGGTCTTTCTCGTTGTTGTTTTCTTTGAAAAAGTTTCGCTTCTCATCCAAGAAGCTTCTTTAGTTCTAAATGACTGGAGGGGACATTCTGTCAAGTTGAGCAATACGTTCTTTTTGGTTAAATTGCCCACTGGAAAGTAGAAGAGGTTTTTTTTTAGGTCAGGCTCACCTTTGGCTCACTGGGACTAACCAGTGGTGGGATTCAAATTTGTTTACTACCGGTTCTGTGGGCGTGGCTTGGTGGGCGTGGCAGGGGAAGGATACTGTAAAATCTCCAGTCAGAGGTGGTATTTGCCAGTTCTCTGAACTATTCAAAATTTCCACCAGAACTGGTCAGAACCTGCTGAATACCACTTCTGGGACTAATCCTCTTTTGTGTTATGGTGCTTCTGGAATGTTCTCCAGGAGAAACTCATTTGGTGCTACCATTTAGGGGCTAGTGAAACATCTTCCTTTTTTTTAATTTCTGTTGTATCAACTTTTCTCCTTTTCTTAAAGTGAAAGCACCCCCTTTGCCAGTTTTTCCTACAATAACAGTCCTGTCAAATGAAAGTTGTGCTGAGAAAGGAGAATAAGTGACATACAATGAGCTTCCATGGCTGATGGTGGACTTGACCTGTCCCCCCCCACCCCCAGTCTTTAACCAATATACTATACTGGCCTTTACAGAGTGGAAAATTTATCTGCTGTATTTCTACCTTTGGGTTTATTTTCAGCAATTTAATACCATCCTTCAGGAGAAGCCTCCAGAAAATGGTTCATGTGTGCCAAGCATGATTAAAAATAATATTTGACGTCTTTTGTATGATATGTGTATGTGCTTGCCTAGGGTGTTCAGTTCTGAAAATTGAAAAGTAGTGTAGAAAGTCAGCACCCACCCTAGAAGAATGAAATATTTTGATGAATATTTTAAAAAACAGATTATTATATTTCCCAAAGGGAGAAATGGAGAAACATGTTCTTGGAGGCAGAAAGCAGCCCCCACCTTTTTTTAATAGCCCACATCAGATATCAGCACTTAAGCGATAAAGAGCTTATTGAAAGAGGACAATTATCTAGATAGCTCTATTCATAAGCAAATAGCCATCACCCAAAATCCAACACAGGAAAAAGCCATTAAGCCACAATAGGAATTGCCCAACACCCTTTCAGAACACAAGCCCCTTCATTGCATCTTTAGCAGTTTTCCTAACCAAGCACCAAAAAAAAACCCTACGATGACAATTTTTGGGTGATTTATCACGGGTGCTATGAGGAGTTGCTCAAAGAGGCTGGTGACCATGCATATCTAACAGACTACAAGTGATTGACCTAGCTTTTGCATTTAGGACATCCTGTCTGGTAATTTATTACACAAACAATACATTGTAATCCTGAATATATATTAAATTCTCCCCCCACCCTTAAATGGCTTCATTTCTTTCTTACGCAATATATACACAGAGCTATGTATGCATATATACCTTAAAGTACAGATAAAAACACATGGGAAAGCACATGGTCCTTGTATGGCATAGATTAGTGATGGATAATCTTTTTGTCGTCGTGTGCCAAAAGTACACACGTGCCTACACCCATAATTTGGTGGGATTCAATTTTCTTAAAACCGGTTCTGTGGGTGTGGCTTAGTTGGTGGGCATGGCTTGGTCATGTTATTGGCTGGGTGTGGCTAACTCAATATCAATCACATCGAGGCACACATCTCCTCGTCTGGCCTCTCATAACTGTGGGGATGCTGCAACAGTTGTAAGTGTGAAAAACAGTCATAAGTCACTTTTTTCAGTGCCATTGTAACTTTGAATGGTCACTCCACACAAGCAAAGTACCAGCAAAGGAGGGAAAAAAACTCCAGAGAAGTTCCTGAGACAGGAAGTCTAGTCCTGCCAAGAATGTAATAAGGGTTAACGGAGAGGCAGTTTCTGTAAGCAACACCAGAATGTTTCCTTCCTGCCTTTCTTACAGGATTAGGCCAGTAATTTCTTCTAACAACCAGTTCTCCAAACTGCTTAGAATATTAACAACCGGTTCTAGCGAATAGGTGCGAACTGGTAGAATCCCACCCCTGCCCATAATGCAATGCACACATGACCCCCCTGCACTCCCCCACCCCTGTGTATGTGCATGGGACCCCCCCACGCTCCCCCGCACATGCACACACATCTCCCGCATGCTCCCACATGCGCAGCAGATACCTGAAAATCAACTGGCTGGTGGGAGGCGTGTGAGCATGCGCAGTGGAACTGAGCTGGGGCGATGACTTGCATGCCCACAGAGATGGTTCTGCGTGCCACTTCTGGCATGCATGCCATAGGTTCGCCATCACGGGCATAGCTGCACACAATAAGTAATGAGAGAAGACGAAACTCTTTGAAGAGAAGCAGGATGCCCTTGATTTTCAAGTGTGCCTATCTGTTCGTACCTGAAATGAAATTTCATGCCTTATCTTCAGCAGAGTACAATACTAAAAAAAAAAAAAAAGACCCCACCTATAAAGAAAAAGAGCCCTATGGTGTCATGAAAAGCCTACAGGCTGCACTTTGCAGAGGACATCCTAGGATAAGCTTGTAAGAACATTGCTGCATATTCCTAAACATTAACGTTTGATTTATTTGCTTTTTGTATGATGCCATGATTTCAATCAGCTAAAGCAATATGCTTTAGGCAAATGGGTGGCTTCTCTGAGTGATATATTAGAAAGAAAAACAAGCAAGCATTTTTTTTTCTTTGAATAAACAGCAGGGTGACTTTGGGCCAATCACACACTATCCATCCAACCCACCTCAGGGTTGTTGCTGTGGGGAAAATAGGAGGAGGAAAGTGGGTGTTTGTCACCTTGAGTTATTTGTGAAAAGAATCAAGACGGGATAGAAATAAATAAATGAACTTTAACCACTTTAATGTTGCCTGCAGATAGTTATGGGAAACTCTGCCTTCTGAACTCTGTCGGTCAAGAAATGTCTCGTTGCAAGACATCTGTTCGACGAGGACAGCCAAACCCTATCTACAAAGAGACGTTTATCTTCCAAGTTGCCTTGTTCCAGCTCTCAGACGTCACCCTGATGATCTCCATTTACAATCGCCGCAGTATAAAGCGCAAAGAGATGATTGGCTGGATTTCTATGGGTCAGAACAGTAGTGGAGAAGAAGAGTTAAGTCATTGGCAGGAGATGAAGGAATCTAAAACACAGCAAGTGTGTAGGTGGCACATGCTCCTGGAGTCTTAATGGAAACCTTTCCAACAGGTGCAGAGCATCTGTCTTCCCAGCATTTGACATATAAAGGACTATATCATCGGTTTATGTTATAACTGGACTTCTGATGCTCTTTACTAATGGAATTATTCTGTTTGGTTATTGCCCTTTTATTTTTAGTTATAGGAAATTGCTTGAAGTCACAGGTGGGAAAATTGGGTTAAAACTTTATGCTCTCCGTTCACCCGTCAAGAATTGAGATTGAGTGTTCAATATCATCCCGGTATCTACAGCGGTAATGAGATTTGCTCTTGGTCATGTCGCTGTAGAGAGCCAAATTTGGTTGGGTGAGCTATGTGCCTTTGTTGTGAGGAAAGGCTGCAAAAAATGATCGTGAAGTAGTGAGTGATCATGAAAATGGTATACAGTGGTACCTCGGTACTCATCGTTAATTGGTTCTGGGTGGCACAATGAGTATGAAAAATGATGACTACCAAACAGATGTTTCCCATAAAGAATAGCGTAAATAAATGTAATGCATTCCCAAACCAAAGACAGTGCACGTTTTAAAGCAATATGTAAAAAGACAAGAGTTGTATATCATTACTTTACATAAGAAATAAATCTAAAAATAATCAGATGAAATAAAATAAAAACTTTCACTTTACCTGTACTGATGACAGGGGGTGGGGGGAAAGCTCAAAAATACACAAAATGACCACAGAACTTAAGATAACACTGCAAAGGGATGTGCACAGGACAAGAGCTACCGCATAATTAATGCATCACCCTTTGCTTCGCCTGGAAAGGGTAGCAAGTCATGAGGCAACTGACACCAACAAGTTCTAGCTTGTGCATTGAGTACCAAACAAATGATGAGTACCAGGACAAAATATTCTCATTAAAATGCGTTGAGTACCAAATTCGATCAGTTTCAAAGCAGTTGAGTACCAAGGTTCCACTGTATTTGGACGGTTTTGTGGTATGGTTTCTGGCCTAACCCACATTTTTATCCCAGAATCATTCACTTAAGAGTATTTGGCTCAGCCCTAAATTCTCTGACTGCAATAAATGAGATGAATTTTGATCCCTGACAAATAGTTACTTAAAATTTGCTCTTTATAAACAGAGACTTCCCAAAGGCTTTGTTTGAACCATGTGCACATAGATCCAGATTACACCAGATACGTGTTATTAATGCAACTTAATCATAAAATGACATTGAACTTGGAGTGTTCAGTGTCCTGCATTTACTGTATTTGTTTTTTCCCACCCAGAAAGATAGCTATATTTCAACCTGGCTACTGTGATTTCTATCCAGTGGTGGGATTCAATTTTTTTTTTTTTACTACCGATTCTGTGAGCGTGGCTTGGTGGGCGTGGCAGGGGAAGGATACTGTAAAATCTCCATTCCCTCCCCACTACCTGGGGAAAGGTGACTGCAAAATTCCCATTCCCTCCCCACTCCACTAACCTGCTTTCCAGCTCCGTTCTCCTGTGCAGGGCAACAAAAAAGACCCAGCCGATCAACTGGGACTTGGGAGGCAGAGAATAGATGGAGGCAGGGCCAGTCAGAGGTAGTATTTGCCAGTTCTCCGGACTACTCACAATTTCTGCTTCCAGTTCTCCAGAACTGGTCAGAACCTGCTGAATACCCACCTCTGCTTCTACCGTTCCATGACAGCAAGGAAATAATATGTGGATATGGGCTCCATCTATTCCTTTTGATATATAATGTTCTTTTCTCTTAGGAGCAGCCAAACACTTGTGCTTTATATTAGGTTCTCCATAGGCATGCATGTATTATTACTGTTATTACCGTGGAAGCCATGGATCCCCTTAGCAGTTCTAGCTCCATGAGTGCTAAAAAAATGAAATCAAGAGACTGGATGCCTGCATTATTGATGGCGGCTTTCTTGAATCTGGTGCCATCCGAATGTGAAGATGTGTGATTGGGAAAAGGTGATTTTAGGAAAGTCTACAGCTTCAGGGATTCTTTGGAAAGACGATAGACAGTGGTAAAAAAAATAAATAAAACCACCTTCCCTTGTTAGGAGACCCTGGAATGTGCTCAGATACCTTTTGAACAGTGTTCTCTTGTGATAATGGACTTCTCTGAAAGACTACATGGGAGCCTCTGCAGCATGCAAAAACAAAAAACAAAAAAAACCACAAGTTTTGAGAAACACACTATTTTAAATAACTTGTAAATAAACTTCAAAACTATCTTAGAAATGGGCCAGAGAGTATATTTATAATATGATGCTGGTGATGGGGACTTCCTTATTTAAAACCTGGCCACCATGGGGGACAAAACTTGTTACAGAACAATAATTCACCATAATCATCCCATCCTGCTGGAGACCATTTGGGATCCTGCTCATTTTATCTTTCTCTTTTGGGGGATCCGCTTGGCACATCTGCTGCTGCAGGGGTTTTGCAGCTGCTTATTGTTTCTATATTATAAAGAAGCTTAAAGGGCCTGTTTGAATCTCAAAGGCATTCTAGAAAATAAAAATTATAGTTGGAGGCTGGTACTTGGTTTTATAGCATATCTTTCAGAGGTGGTATTCAGTAGGTTCTGACCAGTTCTGGAGAACTGGTAGCGGAAAGTTTGAGTAGTTTGGAGAACCGGCAAACGCCACCTCTGGCTGGCCCTACCCCCATCTGTTCCCTGCCTTCCGAGTCCCAGCTGATTGGATGGGTCTTCTTTTGTTGCCCTGCACAGGAGAACAGAGCTGGAAAGCAGGTTAGTGGGGTGGGGAGGGAATGGGGATTTTACAGTATCCTTCCCCTGCCACGCCCACCAAGCCACACCCACTGGTAGTAAAAAAATTTAAATCCCACCACTGATATCTTTGTTATATTTTCCTGATACTTTTATTTCAATATATTTTATATTGTTTCTATGTTTTAAATTAAATAGTTGTTCTTAAATGTGAATGTAAAAAGTCCAATGGGACAGGGAGCCTGGGAGATACCAAGGAAAGTGAAGTATCTGTGAGTACTTCACCTTTAGGCACCGTGTTGAGAATAACCAAAATAGGCTGTTGGCTGGATATAAAGCCTTTCTGTCCAAGCTCCAAGTTCTTTTCCAAAGATCTGGAGATTGAATTCAGGATCTTCCACATGGAAAGAATATACAGTATACTGCAACTCAGTGATGGCCTTCTAGAAGAATGTCTCTTTTAAGCTTTTGCGCAAACAATTTACAAAGAGATACATCATTAGCTGGTTTCTCTAACAAGAACAAAAATTGAAACAGGTTGATTGAAACACTGCATATCAATGTATGAGAACAGAGAAATCCCTTTCAAAAGGCCATTATACTTTGAATTATACTTTTGTTATCTAAAATTTAGAATGCTTCTTTACTTCAGAATTATTCTTTTCCTTTTATGGAAACGTGTAGAGTTTTTATTGGCTGAAGCTCAAAAAAATCAATTACTTCTGAAATAAGAGAAATCAAGTTTCCTTGGTAATGCAGATGAGATCAAGAGTCTAGTACTACATGCTGCTCATCTATTTTTCCTTTTAAAAATCTGTTTCTTCAATGGAGAGAAAAAATAGCTTGCTACCATTTCCAGAGCAGGAGTCAAAGAGGACATCTCACCAATATGTCTCCCTTTTCAAGCCGCATGCCAAAAATTTATAGGTTGCATTTTTTTCTCCTTCTGGAAATTACCAAGGGCCCATAAGCTTTGAGTAATCTGTGATGCATTCTGTTAACTAGGAAATAATAATGTTTCCCAAAGCAGCAAAGAATTCATCTTTTAACAACAGCAGATACAGCGTGTTAAGGCAGCTTTTCTTTCCCTGCATTGTTCAAAAGGTTGCATGAGAAGATTCCTGTTTGGCATCCATCTCACAGAAATAGCTTGTGCAATCCATCTCTGAGGACCTCCTATTTTAACTGCCTGCCCAGTTCCACTAGGGAGAGTGCCAAAGCCAGTGGATGAAGGGGGCTTCTGTTGGAACACATTATGAAGCCCTGCTAATTTCCAATGCCAAAAGCCCACCTCTTCATTCAGTGATGGATCTGTGTAAACGTCTGCAATGAGATCCTTCAAATACATCCCTCAATAATTTTGCCATACACGTGGATCTATAATTCTTGAGGCCATACATGATGGCTATGTATCACACTAATTGAATTCAGCTATAGTGAGCTGTAGAAAAGCCAACCAACTGAGATTTATAAACCATCATTTATGGCTTTAGGGTGAACCCAGCCAATTATGACCTAAGAAACCGTGGACAAACACAGTGTTTGAATGTAGCCAGTGAAATGACTTGGGTTTGGAGCTGCCTAGGAAGTAAAACTCAGGCCAGGAACAGAAATTACATTTCATTTCTAGGAAGAAACTGGGACTTAATAATGGTACTTGTAAGTCTTTTTTTAAAAAAAATTAGGAAAGCATCTGTTGAGGGAGAGGGGTTCAAAAGGAGCAAGATGATGATTTTGGCAACGCATTGGAAGTCTCGCCCTGTTTATACTTGCATTGACATTAGCAGACACCTACAAAACAGGTATGATTTGCATTAGGACATCTGACTTGCTCTTTTGCTTTTTTTTTGACCCACAGAAAGATGCTGCTGGATGCAGAAGAAAGTAAATTGCATGAAGGTAGGGCAGAGGTGGAAAATTTGGAAGAAATTGCCAGGCAGTTGAGCTAAAAGCAAGCACAGGGGGAAAAATACACGCTTAAATTGCATGGAATCACCTGACTTTGGCTAATATCAGAAAACAAGCAGGATTGATTCCAATTACTACGTGTAAGAGAACACCCCAGGGCTGTAGGTCAAACTTTAAAAAAAAAAATTTAAAAAAAAAAATCTAGGAAGAAGGGGTTGGCAAACTGATTTTGTTTTTTTGCCCAAAATGCTGATTCCTCCCACAAAGTGTCTTCAGTCTCAATTTAAGCACCGTAGGGATTAAAAGGGATGAATATTTTTTTTATGCTTACACTCAGTTGGATAAGCTCTCAAGACTTGAAGGTTTTTCAAATGAGTTTTGAGTGCAAAAAATAAAATAAAAAAGGTAGGCAGAGACAGCAAACCATGTAGGTCTTAGGAGATTTCCAGAATTGCAACCTATATTAAACATAGCTCTTTGAGCGTAGTTCTGAGACTGCATA